CAAATCCCACCGATTTGAAATCGTACGATTTGCAGAACATGCCGGATAGTATGCGAAGTTATCGGTGACGATATGTACTTAACCCCCTTATTCTAGAACCCGAATTTTCGTAATTCGTAATTTTGCGCAGAACCCACGTCGAAATTTGCAAAAAAGTGCATAGTGCAAACTGAGTTTATTAATAAGCTAGTGGTAGAAAATTTTAAACATTTATCTTTAAAAAATGTGAATCCTTTGATTACACGTGTATGTTAAAGTTTTTGGGTTCGGGCTATGCGTTTGGACACAACAACAGAAAATTGTTGTACAAATAACTAAGCCGGACCCAAGTTTCTCGATAAGGGGCAACAAAGATTCTTATTTGCTTGTTTATATAAAACAGTGGATAAAAATATACGTATATGCAAAAGGCAAATTTTTCTGTTTAAATGTTTACATCTTTTATTTCGGCTCCGACACAGAATTGTCGTACAAAATTACGCAAAAAAACTTACTCGTTCGTTTTTGGGCATGTCATTGTTACGAATTTCGAAAGTCCGAAAATACGATTCGGATTGCAGCATACTATTTCTACGATTCGTAGCAAAATCCGAATACGAACGAGTTGCGGAATAGGGGTGTTAGTTTGTTTATTTATTTTTAATACAAAAACGAATCCTCGTTGATCAGTGGATCTATTTCTACATATGGCATTGCTAAGTAGAGTATGTCCGAACCATGTGTGTCTGGCGATCCTGTTTCTCTTATTTCAAACTCCGTACTGTTTTCCACTTTACTAAATTTACGTTGGAACAATAAGTCTTGTATTTCTTTCATAGTTAGATACGCAGTTTCTTCGGGCATGGCACGAAGCGTCTGCGAAATACTAAAAGCATCAACTGTGGGTTTACTGATGTTGACAATTTTGTCAATCGCTTCATCGAGTTTGTCTGTATTTATTTCATCTTCATGTTTCCTTTTCCGCGAAGATGACAGAGTGGAGATGTCAGAATCAAAAGACTTGGAAGTTGTTGTGTCATCCACATAAATTGACTTATTTAGGATGTTCTGAAAGACAAATTTAAATAATATAATTTAACAGTTTGGGCTCAATATACATATTTTTAATGTAACTAATTGTTTCCTTGCTAACTTATTTACATTTATGTATATGTCTATTTAGGTACCAGCAAACGAAGACGAGTGGTTAGATAAGGCTTCAGCATTTGACAAACTGTGGCAATTTCCGCATACTCTGGGTGTTCTAGATGGGAACCCATTCGCATAAAAGCCCCAGCAAAAACTGGAACACAATTTTATAATTTCAAAGTATTTTATAGTATCATCCTATTTGCTTTGGTAGATACGCATGGCAGATTTCTCTTCACGGACGTGGGCTGCAATGGAAAAGCATCAGATAGCACAATCTATCAAGAGGGTTATCTCTTCAGCGGGCTGAAAAATGGCTCACTAAATATTCCAAACCCATCAGATGTAGTCCCCGGACAGGGCACTAAAATCCCATATTATTTTATAGGAGACGATGCATTTTCAATAGATAAAAACTTACAGCCCAACCAAT